GTTCTGTGTCAGTGTGTACAGGGAGAGACCACTCCATGTTCTGTGTCAGTGTGTACAGGGAGACACCACTCCATGTTCTGTGTCAGTGTGTACAGGGAGAGACCACTCCATGTTCTGTGTCAGTGTGTACAGGGAGACACCACTCCATGTTCTGTGTCAGTGTGTACAGGGAGAGACCACTCCATGTTCTGTGTCAGTGTGTACAGGGAGACACCACTCCATGTTCTGTGTCAGAGTGTACAGGGAGGAACCATACCAAGCTTTTTATCAGTGTGTGTAGGACAGAGTCAGGTCTTAGGTGATAATGGACCATGTAAGTCAAGATAAGGACCATATCAAGCTCTGGCTTTGTCAGTGTGTTCAGGTCTGGGGTCATCAAGGACCAGGAAAGTTCATCTCAGTTACATACCTGGTATTTTTTTCCTACAGTCTTAAGTTAAGTCCATGAAAAGTACACCAGTTGATCAAGGTTATCAGAAAATAGAATGTATTGATTACAACAGAAGGCTAGTGTCCATTACTGAGAGAGGTATTACTATATATAGCGATGTATGTGATAATAAATAGTGTAAGACAGTTGGTGCAGTTGAAAGGTACAAGGATACTGCTGAAGTACAGCAAAGTTTACAGAATTTAGGAACACATTTTTAAGTCAGATCTCTGAGAATTCAGACATTAAGAACAAAGATTTGAGAAACAAGTTTAAGGTTAGGTTAGTGATTAAAATAAATAAAATTAAACCTATTTGGTATACAAAATTAAAAAGACGATAGATGTGAGACAACTATTACTGGTCAGCTGTTCTGAAGTACTTATTAATGTATAGTATTTCATTGGCTATTGTTTAGTTGCCATGGTAATGATTTACATGTTATGAGGGTGAGGCAGTAACACAGCATTTCCTTCTAATTCATCTTGACTTGGTGACCCAGGGTGATTTGTCTATGACAGCTGTAACAGTAGAAGTGACTGTGTTACTGTCCCACCCAAGGCTGCATTTTATAGGACAAATATGATCACTGTACACACCGTATATATCCTGTAATAAGCCCAGGGGGTCAACATACACACCAACTTCAACTAAAATAAGAGTATGTGCTTGTTATGCATAGCTGGACTTATTGGTGGATATTAGCTACTATTACTTGCTGTAAGATGTTGTAAAATGATAATTTGTTACTTTATTTATTTCACTCTGTGTCTACAAACGCCAAGGAATCACACCAAATAGCAAAAGGATATTTATTTACATGTTCGTCTGGTTTAATTAACAAACAGCAGTTTCTGCATCGTTGAACCTGCCAATGTAATACTATGTAACAGGTCAATTTTTTTAGGATTTTATTTTGAAGCGATCAAATTATGTTTTAATAAATTAAAGTGTTGCTGTTTAGAAGGGCATGTAATACACACGTCTCATTTCATGGATTAAATTTTTGCAATCACGTTAATGTACTGTGAAATAGATATTATCCCTGTAAAAATAGCCAGTTGTGTGGTGCATCACTTGAAGAAGTAAAAGTATACATTTTTGATAGAATGTGAATTGTGAGATATAATTGTCACTGCCTGCAGATATCAAAGGTCTAATATCCATTTCTTGAAATCTGAAATGTTTATGATGTTTGCGATGTTTCGTGTTGTTAGATGACCTTTAATTAGATGACATATGTATGGTGGTGTTGTTCTGCTACTAGGTAGAGTGAAGTATGGCATGTTTACATGATTTGTCATGGAGTTATGTGGGAGATGGTGTGTATAATGTCAGCTGACCCGTCACAGTAATGATAGAATGTCATCCTACATTACTGTCTCCAACAAAAAATACAGTAGCCCTAGATAATTTATATCTGTGGTCTCTGGTCAGTGGTCAACACAGTAGCTTTACCTCTAGTTTATATCTGTCTCTGGTCAGTGGTCAACATAGTAGCTTTACCTCTAGTTTATATCTGTGGTCTCTGGTCAGTGGTCAACATAGTAGCTTTACCTCTAGTTTATATCTGTCTCTGGTCAGTGGTCTACATAGTAGCTGTACCTCTAGTTTATATCTGTGGTCTGTGGTCAGTGGTCAACATAGTAGCTTTACCTCTAGTTTATATCTGGTCTGTGGTCAGTGGTCAACATAGTAGCTTTACCTCTAGTTTATATCTGTCTCTGGTCAGTGGTCAACATAGTAGCTTTACCTCTAGTTTATATCTGTCTCTGGTCAGTGGTCAACATAGTAGCTTTACCTATAGTTTATATCTGTCTCTGGTCAGTGGTCTACATAGTAGCTTTACCTCTAGTTTATATCTGTCTCTGGTAAGTGGTCAACATAGTAGCTTTACCTCTAGTTTATATCTGTCTCTGGTCAGTGGTCAACATAGTAGCTTTACCTCTAGTTTATATCTGTCTCTGGTCAGTGGTCAACATAGTAGCTTTACCTCAAGTTTATATCTGTCTCTGGTCAATGGTCAACATGGTGGTGTATCTCTTTACAAGTTTAACATGGCTGTGTCTCATTGATTAAAATATTAAAGTTTGATTATCAGACATTGAAACTGTGCAGTTTTTAATTTTGCATAAAATTAAGATGGTTGTTGTTTTTCTGTTGTATAGTTTTTGCTATAGTCCAGAATACCAAACTATAGATGTAGACATTGTTTGGTTCTAAAAAATATAAAGTTTGAACAATTCATCGTGAAAGTGTACAATGTACAATTTCTTTTCTATCAGTGTCTAATTTTCACTATTTTTGTGCTAAACTGTTGATTCGGTATTATAAGACATAAGTAAGTGTTTGCTCTTCAATGACAAAAAAAAAATGTCAATTTGATTAAGATATATTCTGGTTTTGATACTGAAAGGTGAAATATTGTGTGGTGAACTGTCTTACAATATTTTCTGAAATGCTATTCTACCAGCAATATTCCAGTGAAAAATGTATTGAGTTCTAGGAAGTGTTTGATGTGTTGATAACGGCTGTTGGTTAAGCCATACATGTCAGGCGATGGAGTGGACTAAGCTTGTGTCTACATGATGTATGTTTGTTAAAGATTCTCTGTATCTAGTCTTACTGTGGTGTTATGTAGGTGGTTGTCATTAGGACATTCAATGGTGTTCCCTTTTTAAGTAATAAGAAACAGAATAATTCAGCCCTTCGGGGATGAGATAGAGTGATATCAACCTGGGAGGAATGATTCAAAAGTCGGCAAACTTAAGGCTATTGCCACCTAGTGGTTGCTAAATTAGGGTGATCTCAACAATTGGGTAAAGATTATTAAGGGACTTAACTACTCTGTTAGTCTATAAGGATCACCTTTGATCTCCCTGAGGTAAACAGGTGGGTGTCATTCATGGAGACAGTTCTCTTTATGATAATAACTTGATAGTTGATGCCTTAATTATTTATACAGATCTTTTACGCTACAAGGTTTAATTATCATTTTATGCTATTTATAAGATGGTCTTATTAAGCTGACAAGTCTCTAGTTTAGAGGAAGTTTCACATGGATATTGAATCGATTGATGAATGATCTCCACATGTGTTACACCTACAGTGAGTAATACTTAGTATTAAGGAGACTCGGTCTTCACACTGTGTTTGATTAAAGGAAGCTGGTAGATTTGTTTTTTGTAAATGTCTTTCCTTCTAACGAAAAGGTCACTGAAAAAAATATACCCTTTTGTATTTTGAATGTTATTGCTTGAACATTTGTCTCAGGTTTTTACTGTGTCAGCTGTGAAGTAGGAAAGTATGGAGAATTCCATCCTTTGTCAACTAGCAGTCAACCTTTCACTATTTCCACAGTTCAGTGCATTGTGAATGAAATTTGTATAACAATGGTACTTTGATAAAACAAATAAGTGTATGAAAAAAATTCACCAATTATCTTGGTATTTGAACTCAGTATTTAGACAAACATCGATTGAGATCTCCTCCAGTTGGGAAAAAAATCATAAAGCTTTTTTTAATCCATTGTATGAATTAGTCACACATTTATGTGTGTCGTATTTGATTTTAAAAGCTGAGTGACCAGATTACAAGAACTAAAGGACTTGCTTAATGTTGTTCAATTGAAATCAAAATGTGTGATGATTAAAAAGTGAAAATGCATAAACATCATCAAAAATATTACCACTTCTATATTGTGGCTTTAAATGAAATTGAAAATTATTATTCAATTTCTATAAGAGTTAAAATTGATCTGAAATAAAATTAGATAGTTAGATAGTTATATATCTATACAGATATGATTTATCTCACAAAATTGAGGTTGTTCTGGAAAATAAATTGACATTAACTTTTACCCATATCGTGAAGATACTCCCAATTTCTTACAGTGCAGTAAATGTTTTACATGAAGTGCCCTAGGCTGTGATGGTTATTAGACTGTACACATAAAAATCTTAATACACAGGAACATGCCTGACCGAGTTATAAAAATAGCAACTGTTAGAGGGCTTTATACTGAAATAAATTTCATCCTTGATTTTTTTTAACAATACCTTACTAGGTTGACAAATCACCACAGGTTAATTGCAAAAGGTAATGAAGCAGATGATTTATACCTGTCAATTGGTACAGATATAACTGTGTAGGAGTGTGCTACCTGGTCTATATAAATTTAGTCATGGAGGAGTTGTTTCCCCTTGAATGCAATCTTGATCTAATTCTTATCCCTTTCAGTGCCAGCAGAAATCTTTGTTATTTGAAGATAGAAATGTATGCCAAAATTGCCAAATGTTATCATCATATTAATTGGTGCAGTTGCTTATGTCTTTGTTATTAAGAACCTTAACTCACTAGTACAAGTCTTGATTCCTTATTTGGCAGTAATTGTTTATATACAGTTATTGACAAACATGTCTAGCAAAAATAACATCTATAAGTATATATGCTTGCTAACTGTGTTATCATACCATATTTTGCAGAGAAATTCAACAGGTACTTACAACTTTAATAAGATTTCATCCTTACAAATTAAGAAATATAATTGATTTTTTTTTTATTTTGCTAGAATCGTCGTTTATCTGAGGACAAGGACAAACAACTACAGAGGAAAGTTTCCGAACTCCAAACACAAACCCAGCGCCTCGAACGCAAAATAGCCTTACTCAAGACAGAAAACGACCTTCTGGTGAGTTTTCTGTAACCATGGAAATATTTTTATTAAAACTTGAAGTGTTGATCATGAAATCTAGGTAAATTTAATTTTGGTAACAAAATATCAATTGGTATTTTATGATGTTTAATGAGTACATGTGTAGTCTTTTGTACCCAAAATTACAATCATTGATGTTAAGTGTTGTATTGTCAGGCAAGGGGCATTATAATTATGGTGTAAGTGGTTTTAACTTTGAATGGTATGAGATATCTAGGTCAATTAAAATGTTTTGTTGAATGTTGAATAAACAGAAAAAGAAACAAGATGATCAGCGCCCTCTGGAAGAAAAGATTAAAGCTTTGAAGAAGAGGAATGCAGAACTGGCAGCCATCGCCCGAAGACTAGAAGAAAAAGCAAAACATCTTCAGCAAGAAAACATGAAGGTACTGTGTTTCTTCAGCCTGATTTTCTAAAAACTGATTCCCAAAGGAACATCTACAAGGCTGTTGAATTTTCCAATATGGTTAAGAGCTTGCATTAGTTGTTGAGAATAGTCTAGATAGAAATAGCTGAACATATTTACATGTCTGAAGACAATGGATTGGCTATCACCTTACGGAGACGGGCGAGAAACAATTCTAAATATTCTTATGTTTTGTCACCTTCACTCTTGTGTCCCATTCCGAACTAATGTCATAACCTGAGAACCTGTCTCAACAGATTTGGTCCATATTTCTCCCGCAGGATCATTAGACACCGAGTTCTATACCTGATCAGATCTGGGTTGTATACGATTGGGGGCATCCATGTATTGTAGACATTTTCTATTTTTTTTTATTTTGTCTCCTTTGACTGGAAATCAAATCTTCCATAAGGGACCATGCCAAATATATGGATTCTGTTAGGTAGATTTCTTACTAATAAAAGTGTTACAAATATGTATTCAAGTTCTTATATTCAACAGAACAATCACACCATGTTTTTTTATTTCCTGAATTGTGTTTTATAGGTTTATGATCAATTTTAAAACTGAGAACATATAGTAAACATACACATGAAGATATTCAGGGTTAGTGTTACTTATGGCAATGCTATCACGTGATGATTTCAGTGATGTTTCAGTAGGAAGAAAGTGTGGCAGAGATGCTTAATGAGGTTTAAGAAGTGTAAGGATCATGTAATGTGCTGTAAAATATTTTAATTTTTGATCTGTCAGTCTGATGGCTTTCTGTTTAACAAACACTATATAATGAAAGAAAATGCACTGCATTATTAACCAATGTGCTGTAAGTATAATGGAGTTATCTCCCCTGTTCTGTCACTAGAATCCTTTTATCTGTGAATGTTCTTACTGATGTGAACAAGGACTTATAAGCAATCAGTCAATACCCTTGATAAAATAAAATAGGCAGCTTTGAATGAATTACAAAAAGAAATATGTGAAAAATCATTGTATGTCCCTGTAAAAATATAACAGTTTTTAAAGTAGAATTACAAGTGTGTTAGGGCACTGAGTTCTAAAAAAAAGATGACCATCAAGATGCCCTATTCCACTTTTTCATTGTATTCCAATATTTGCTTTGTATGTACATTATCATAATGATTTATAATTCACACAATGAAATTGTAAATATTACAGAAAATTCGAGATGAAACAGGTCAGCATGATTCTGAGTACCTGAAGAAGATGTTTGCACGACAACGAGCCAAGGACCTTGCTGAGCATGCCAAAGCTATGTTGTCCAAGGATCGCGAGATCGAGGACTTACGCAAAAAGTGTCAGGAACTCGCAGATGCTCTCAGTAACACTGATTTCCTTGGACCAGAGGTAGTGTAGTAAACACAGAAAAGAATTTTACAAAACATTAATAACATTAGACCATACAAAATTATAAGACTGTCATGCATACCCGTATTAGCTTTGAGATTGCAGTACAGTCATTTTCTCCAAGTGCTTATTTCTATACGGTAAACATGTATATTTTTTGCAGTAATCTTATAATATAGTATATATAATACTCTGGCAGTTTCTGATTTCCTCAGCGGTTTTGATAAAAATGTACACAGTAAAGACTGACCATATCGGATTATCCATAATAACGTTTGAGTTTCAGGGTTGTGATGTCATGCTGAAAGCCACTATTACTAGTTTTAGAGCTTGTCAGCTCTTTAGTAGCTGCAATTCTTCAGAGATTTGTATCAAACTTTGTCTTGTTTTATTGCGTATCAGTTAAGGTTGATTTGTGAGAGGACTTGTATCATCTAATCATTTATAATAAATGACGATACCGACAGACAAACTTATAAATATTGTAGAACTCACAGATGTACGAAGAAAAAGAGGAGCTTGTCAGTATTATAAAGCAGGCCGCTAAAGAACGATTACAGTTAGAGAAACAGCTGGCCAAGTCCAAACCTACACCGGTAAGTAAAATTATTATTCCTTAAACTATCTCGTGGAGCACAATTCTACTTAATCCTAAAGTCCATTCGTGGTTACATACCCTGATTCTGTCAAAACGTCCACAAATGACGTAATTTCATTGTCCAGTAATAAGAACATTATCTATTGAGGTACATGTACTGTTACCTAAAACTTGGCACAGTGTGAGAGATAATTGGATGCCTGTGGTCTTACTGCAAGGTAATAACAGCTCCAAACAGCAATAAGTGTGTCATGAATATCTAGATGTATTGTAGACTATCGATGTCAAACAGAACTTGTGTGAGACCTTCACACTCTGCACATCATACAGAACTTGTGTGAGACCTTCACACTCTTCACATCATACAGAACTTGTGTGAGACCTTCACACTCTCCACATCATACAGAACTTGTGTGAGACCTTCACACTCTCCACATCATACAGAACTTGTGTGAGACCTTCACACTCTCCACATCATACAGAACTTGTGTGAGACCTTCACACTCTCCACATCATACAGAACTTGTGTGAGACCTTCACACTCTCCACATCATACAGAACTTGTGTGAGACATTCACACTCTCCACATCATACAGAACTTGTGTGAGACCATCATACAGAACTTGTGTGAGACCTTCACACTCTCCACATCATACAGAACTTGTGTGAGACCTTCACACTCTCCACATCATACAGAACTTGTGTGAGACCTTCACACTCTCCACATCATACAGAACTTGTGTGAGACCTTCACACTCTCCACATCATACAGAACTTGTGTGAGACCTTCACACTCTCCACATCATACAGAACTTGTGTGAGACCTTCACACTCTCCACATCATACAGAACTTGTGTGAGACCTTCACACTCTCCACATCATACAGAACTTGTGACCTTCACACCTCCACATTCACACTCTCCACATCACATCTCCACATCATACAGAACTTGTGTGAGACATTCACACTCTCCACATCATACAGAACTTGTGTGAGACATTCACACTCTGCACATCATAAAGAACTTGTGTGAGACCTTCACACTCTGCACATCATACAGAACTTGTGTGAGACCTTCACACTCTCCACATCATACAGAACTTGTGTGAGACCTTCACACACTGCACATCATACAGAACTTGTGTGAGACCTTCACACTCTTCACATCATACAGAACTTGTGTGAGACCTTCACACTGTCCACATCATACAGAACTTGTGTGAGACCTTCACACTGTCCACATCATACAGAACTTGTGTGAGACCTTCACATTCTCCAAATCATACAGAACTTGTGTGAGACCTTGAAAATTTAAAATAATTCTTAATATATGTATATATACTACACATAAGTTAAATACTGCACATCTCTGTGAGAATATTGTTTATCAATATATCACAATGAAGTGTATGTAATTAAATCAAATTGAAGAGTAAAACGGAAGGAAAACATTACACAGAGAGTGATTATCTTGATCAGGATATGTGTGTGCCATTTTTGTTTGATTATATTGAAACATTTACATGCATGTTTCATTTCTTATACCGGATTCTGATATTTCTTTCCCTAAATACACTGATGTTGGCTTCAGGTACCAGGTTTCTAGAATATGCAGCACACAATATCGGTTCTAAAAATAAAAAGTCATTCCTGTTACTTCAAGATCACAGGAGAGGCCAATTTCTTGTAAATTAGATACAAATAATATAAAGCATTACCAACATGGATCTATCACACTGTACTGTCTAAATACAATGATATCCATACAACTTTGTATTAAAGGTAAGGAGCAAACACCTTACACGTGAAAACAGAGAACAGTTGACAGCTCTAATTGAACTGTAAGGCAAAATTGTGAAATAGCAGTTTGGATAAAAATGATTTGTTGTCTTGTATTATGGAGAGAGCATGTTGTCAGTGGGATTGAGAACAGGCTGTTTATAGTCTAGTGAGTTCTGTCTTTGTTTATGTTTCATCATAACTGACTTAGGATCTGAAGATTTCTACACAAAAATGTATATGTTTTATAGCCTCTGGGACATATGACACCGATCAAATTGCTGTCTCAGCAACTCGCGCTTTTTTGTTTTTTCAGGGAAAATCAGATTTTGTGTTACACGGAGTTGAACCAGACTTGTCTGGCCTCTGTGCCTTGGAATGATCAGTTCACTGATAGAACTACACGGATAATACCACCAGTTTTATATAACTGAGCAAAATAAAATTACTCCATGCATCTTTTATGAGAGTAAATAAATTCATTTATTGGGATGCAAATTTCCTGTCTTGAATTGATTGATTTTGTTCTTGTATTTGAAGATAAATTTTACTTGTGACTATATAATTACTTTGGAGGCTGTTTGTGTAATTGGTTAGGTCTGTCTTGAATCATTAGTATTGGGGGTCTGTTGGTCATTGTATACTGGTAGAGAGTCAAAGAAATAAAAACAAATTAAAGAATTCAATACAGTTCATGACTGGGTTTGTCTGGATGTGGTTAGGGTCTATTCAATTTAACTGTCGTGCATCTTACTAACCTTTCTAACGTCACCGGGTTCCCATGCTCTTTCTAAGATGTACAGAGTAGAGATTTTTATTTTGTATTTCTTGATAGACAATGCAATTTGGATTTTTTTTTTGGCATTTAGATATTCCTCAAATATACAGGTATACATATGTGATGGATCAGAAAATGTCTCTGGTTTAATAGGTCTGATGACATTTAGATACTGATGATGAGAATCAGAAATAACTTTTGTAGAAGTCGTTTGTTCTCTGTGATACTTTGCTGATTGATAGGGTAAAAGGGAGCTTCTTTTTGGTGTCTGTAAAGGTCAGAGAGTTCTTTAAATATCATTATTGTTAGAGCACAGATCAGTGTCATAGAATGTCTGCAGTGGTCATGGTGTCAGTGAAGGTCATTGTCATGGAAATTGTGATAAAAGGTCAAGGATATCCACAAAGATCAAATAATATGGGATATTTGCAAAGGTCAATGTTTGCAAAGGTCAATTTTTGCAAAGGTCAAGATGTCCTCAAAAGTCAGCGACAAGGAACATCTGTAATGATCAATGGCTAGAAATTCCCGTGAATGCCATGTTTACAAATATCTGTAAAAATCAATACAAAGGGTTGCAGCAAATATCAATAACAAGAAATCTCTAGGAATTTCCCGCATGGTCAACGGAGAGAAATGTCCACAAATGTCAATGTTTAGGGACATCTGTTAAAATCAATGACAAGGATCTTATCAATGGGAAGGAATGTCCCAAAAGGTCATTTAGATGTCAGAAAATGCCTCCGAAGTTAAAAGCAGAGAACACCAGTAAAGATCACTGTCAACACTAATCCACAAAGACTGCTTACAGGGAAGTCTAGTAGGACCAGAAATGGTTGCAAATGTCTTTAACTTTCCTGAAAATTCCTGTAGATGTTGCAAATGTCAGGAATATTTGAGAAAGCTAATGATAAGGATGCTTAAAAAAGGGTCTTTGGCTTATGTAAAAGGATTACATTAATACACTTGTCTGTCTGTATGGAACAAAAATAATGTTCTATGATTATTTAAAGTCATGTAGAACCAAACGATAGAGATGGATATTACCAAGTAACAGAGACAAAATCTTCAGAAATGAAAGGTCAACACTCACTACTGTAAACCACCCACATACAGTGCCAACCCACAGGGATGGTGGGTTTGGTATTCTGGTCGGTATTAATACAAATGAACTGTTACTTGACATTTTCTCTCCATTTATCTGCTTGGACACATACAGCTAAAACCATTAGACATTTTCTCGCGATTTATCTGCTTGGACAGCTAAAGGCATTAGATGTTTTCTGTAATGTTTCCCTGTAAACCAGACTTACAAGGCCCTGCTTGGTTGTATTGATAGGACATAAAAGATTGTTTCAAATAAGACTATAGAGTGATTCAGCGTGTTAATATTTTATATTTAATATTTAAAAATACAGCAATCATGATCCTGAAATCAGCACATACTATAAATATACACATTCTATTAGTTATTTAATTTAACTGATTTTTGTGCTGAATGAGTTGCACTAAAACATGACTGGGCTAATTGCCTATGATCTACCAGTATGTACAGCAGTTATTACCAATGTAATACTACATCATTGGCTATTAAGGTAAAAAGTGATGATAAACTGAAATCTAATTGCACTAAATTAAGTAGTGCCATATTGATTGATTGAGGCTAATATCGTGTACGAATCCCACTTTCTCAAGCAGGGATCAGGTGATATCCTGTTGGGTATATCGCCTATTAAACATGATATAATTGTTTTCCTTGTAGATTTTGAATCACAAGTAGCGTGCCATAACCAGACATCAGGCGTCTGACATATTCTATAGAATTGTTCTGTTGTATGTGTGGATCAGTAAGGCGGGAATATTGTTGTGTTGTATGTGTGGATCAGTAAGGTGGGAACTTTGTTCTGTTGTATGTGTGGATCAGTAAGGCTGGAACTTTGTTCTGTTGTATGTGTGGATCAGTAAGGCAGGTACTTTGTTCTGTTGTATGTGTGGATCAGTAAGACAGGATAATTGTTCTGTTGTATGTGTGGATCAGTAAGGCGGGGATATTGTTCTGTTGTATGTGTGGATCAGTAAGACAGGGACTTTGTTCTGTTGTATGTGTGGATCAGTAAGGTGGGAACTTTGTTCTGTTGTATGTGTGGATCAGTAAGGCAGGAACTTTGTTCTGTTGTATGTGTGGATCAGTAAGACAGGGACTTTGTTCTGTTGTATGTGTGGATCAGTAAGACAGGAACTTTGTTCTGTTGTATGTGTGGATCAGTAAGGCAGGAACTTTGTTCTGTTGTATGTGTGGATCAGTAAGGCAGGAACTTTGTTCTGTTGTATGTGTGGATCAGTAAGACAGGAACTTTGTTCTGTTGTATGTGTGGATCAGTAAGACAGGAACATTGTTCTGTTGTATGTGTGGATCAGTAAGACAAATTTGTGATATTGT